CTCACATCCCCAAATCACCAGAATCCATGCACAGAGACATGGGGCTTGTGCTTGCAATCAAACCACCTGTACCCTCCCAGCTTTTCCACAGGAGGCCATCTTAGCCACCCCTGAGCAAGCCTCATGCAGCAACCTCAGCAACCCTGCTCACACCTGAGCTTGCCTGTAGGCCATTTGTAGTTTTCTGGCTCAAATCAAGTTTATTTACTCAGGTGCATCTTTCACATCTTCAGTAAAAGCAAAGAAAGAAACACAAACTGCAGAAGAAAGTTGGCAAGACAAAGCACAGAAAAATTTTAAGATATAGATAACCATAATCATTCAATGGCATAAGGCCAATTTGCAGACCTACATTTATTATTTAACATAGAATCACTCCTGCAAAGAGGGGTTAACTTTGAGAGAGCCAAAGCACACAATGATGTCCCTGCATGCAGCTGGAGTCACCAGCACTGCATAGCTGGAGGAACTCTGTATGACCTTAAGGGCTGTACGTACAAGTCTTGCTACAAAACCCGTGAGAACTTTTCCTGCTATGATTATAAACTTTACTAAGTTAGACTCTCACAGAGTTATATAACCGTATGTGGTAGTTAATGAAGTGCTGGATGTAAGAAAAATAACTGCAATGTTATTTTGCCCCTGGTATGCTTTGCCTTATAAGGATTAAACCTACAGCTAATTCACTTGTGTTTTGTGATCTCTATCACACTGCAATAATAATACTTAGACTTTATAGCACTTCTCACTTATAAAACGTGCTTTACAAACATTATCTAATTAATAATCTTCACAACAGTCCTGTGACATAGGTATACAGGTCAAGTTAATGTTCTGTTTTAATAAACTACTAGCACTTCAGTAAATTGAAAAGTATAAAACACATTAAATTCACTTAAGAGAAACAAAAGTTAGTGAACAAATTGCAACTCTCCCTGAACATTCTAGGTGGGCAATTCACATAGCAAACTGTCAGTGATCACTAGCTCTGAGGTCAGTCTCTATAACAAGCATTTTAATTAAGTAGTTGAGAGACTTTTTTATTAGAATATAGAAGAACTATTTGGTTCACATTATTCATTCTGTCGGGGAAGATGAGGTTCTTTGATCAAGGCAACACTACACAAAGTTTTATACAAAAAAGAAAACAGTAGTCCCCACCTTACAGTATTTTGGATGTAAGTATAAAATAAGGGATAAGTGACAGGGAATGAGAGGAAATAGTAAAGTAAGCACTAAATCTTTACAGCTCAAATTACATCTGCCTACAGAAACATATGCAGAGCCATTTTATTATATGCTTATCATCTCATTAGTACTCTGCAGTTAGCCCCATTTGATACACCTCAGGCTTCAGTTGCTTGTGATCAAAGTCAGAACAAGTGTTTGGGGAACACAGCACCAAGTGGACTTAGTTAAACAGTCACAAACTGAGTTTTCCACAAGGCCATAATTGATTCAGCACATGGCATGGACATGCCTTTGGGATGTAACCATGCAGGTCAGGAGGGTACTACCTGATGAAGAGAAGCACTCTGCACATTGCCAAGTTCAGAGCTATGTAGCAACTGAGGAATGCAGGGAGAAAGGGGAAGTAAAAAAGGCTTCCTATTTAAGGTAGTTTAAAAGTTGCCTTGGGTTTGAAGCCTATACTGCTATCACAGGACAGACTATCAGATAAGGGATAAGAGTCTTAAAACCCAGTATTTTCACACATAGTTGTGCTCCTCGTGTGCTTCAGTGCCTGACTTGAAACCTGAGCTCTGGCTTGCTCCAAGTGCTGATTACCCACCAAAGGCAGCTGAAGTTAAAGGAAGTTGTACATTCAGCACACTGCCTGATGTTAAGTGTTCTGAAAGAGGCTGAAGCAGGATGTCTTAGACTGGGTTCCCAAATTAGTAGGTACTTTCAACCTTGAATTGCTATGTCCCGATCTCCATCTGTCAAATGAGGACAATAATTCCTCCTCATTTCACCAGGGTGTTATGAAAATAACTTCATTAATGGTTTGTTAAGGACTGTAGTGTTGAGTACTGTATTAAAATCTAGGAAGAAATTAATAATGCTGTCTCTGGAGCAAGTTTTGAAAAGCATGCAATTAAAAGAGCCTGAAGGCACACACTGAAAAGGAAAAATTGTTGAGATATTTGAACTGCTTATTGAGTGCTTTATCCAGGATTTCACCCTGATTTTAAATTTCACTTTTATATTTGTAGATTATCAAGTTCTTAAGAATTCAGATTTATCCAGCTCTCCACAAATGCCAGAATCACACTGATGACTCCATGGCTCACTAAGTAACACTTAGAGTCACTGGACAGATCTCTGTCATCTAAGCTCACAGAAAAAAAACAAACAATATAATTTTTTTTCAAGAACTAGTACTTCAAGGACAGATCGTGTTTTGACAGTAGATTTTGTTAGGCATTTCCAATAACACAGGAGATATAAAATTCAAGAAAAATTTCAGCCCAAATAATTAGTCTATTAAGATTCATATGTATATGTGCTAGAGATCATTTACACTAGTTTAAGTAAAAATTTTCAGGTAATCTTGAAGGAAACCAATGTTCTCTGACCTACATAAAGTATACACGCATACACAGTTCTATTTTGAGCACTGTCTTTACTAGCAAGTTGTCTTCAACACGAAAGGTCTTTTATTATTTGTTTTCATTACACACCCCCTAGCTGTTTCTTATACAGAAAGAATAATATACCTCAGCTTCCCTCAAATAATATACAGATGACTAATTACTGTGACACCCAGGAAAGATATGTCAGGTAAAGTAAATATTCTGGAAAGAATGAACCCTTGAGCTATTTCCACCAAATACTCTTACCTGTAACTGTCACAATGATTGTGTTACAACCAAAGAAAGAGCCTTTGATGACTGGAGTTTTCTGAATTAGTAAACTGCCTGATGAGTAGCAAAAAGCCTACTGCCACTTAAATCAGAAGCATTTAATAGAGACAACAGAATCAGGCTACTTTTCACAACTACGACATTGAGACTATCAAAGATGATTTTAATATGCAAGTGAGGCAGAACTAGAAAACAGTTATGGGCTGCTTTACAGTCATTTGTCCAATGTACTTAAATATTAGCAATGTAATGGCTGCTTTTTGGTTAACAACTTTATACTGGAATGGATTTACACAGGAATGAAGATAGAACTAGAACTGTAACTCCTCCATCTGCCCAGATTAAGCATCCCCATGCCCCTTCTAAATCCAGACCTTATGAAAACCAAGTGAGCAGAGCAGATCTCTCCTATGGGAAAGAGGAACAATCTCTCATCCTGAATCTTATCCACCAGAACTGAATTTAGTCCTGAACTAACTGAAAAACAGATCACCATAAAAGAAAAATGATATCAAAGCAAAGCATGTCAGAAGGCAGAGAATCCACGTATATGGATGCAAAATCCTGAATCAGTGCTGGCCTGCTTCACAGCTTGTGCACAATACTATAATAAAATACTGAGCACAGTACTTCAGACAAGCAGCTGCTAATGTCTTGAATGTATGCTTAAAACTCCTAGTTTTTCAGGGCAAAAGTAAAAGAAAACAGCTTAAAATAGTTTACTTTGCTTCTTGCTACAACTCCTTACAGTAGTTCCTCACCCACAGTGAACATCCATATGATAACAAGGAGGTATTTCCCTTTTCCAGATGTATTCCCATACACAGTAATTGTTTGGTCCTCACATGCATCTGGAACATACACCTATGGAATGCAGCTGGGAGATGCATATGCAGAAAAGCCTGGGCTAGAGCTGAAAAGAATAAACCCACTTCAAAGGAGAAACTTCAGTGGAGTCAAAAATTGGTTGGACAAGAAGGATGACGAGAGGAAGGCAAAAGATAACAGAAGCTGCAGTTTGCTATGTGACATTCATGAGAGGATTAACATGCATAATTATAAGCAGCTAGTAATAGCGTCCTCCCAGGTGGACTGTGTCTGACTGATGTTAGTGAAAGTTCCTTTTAGCATAGGGTCCAGCATTAATTTTTGACAGTTCATTCTGACAGTAAGGTATTTTTAACCTATTAATATACTTCTGGCAAGAATAAGTGAGGGTTAGAGGAAGATCCCAAGCCATACTAGTGTGAATCAAAAGATTGTTGATAAACTACTAATATGAACAGCTACTTACTTCTTCTGTACTCTTCTGCATTCCTCTGTAATACGTAGTTAAAATCACTTCATAAAATATCATATAAAAAAATGCAAGCTACATCTTCTCAAGCAACTTATCTTGTTAATCCCAAATTAGAGGAACATTCTCTTTCAAACAAGGACTAATCCATTCCCTTGTTTATACTGAAAATAGAAGAGAATACTCTTTCCATTTGTCCACAGCAGGAGACAACTGACTGGAGAAGATAGGAAAGTAGGCAATCACAGAAGAGAATTCACAGCCAAGAACCAAGGAAACAGGTTGAAATTTACCTGGCACACGAGGCTGTTACTTATAGACCTCAAGTCCTTGTGTTTTGATAAAAAGATTCGTGATAGAGAAATAAGTTGTTTTTCCATGTAACCTAATACAGTTTTCTGCTTTGGAACTAGTCATCAGAATTAGAATAACTTACAGTGTTTGAGAAAACACTGCACAGCTGTATCTGCCATTTTAAAAGCACAGAAATACTTAAGCTGAAAAGGAGACTTAAGATCATCAAGTCCAACCACCATATTATACTACTAAGTCCATCATTAAACCATATCTCAAAGAGCCTCAACTCACATGGTTCTTCATCACCTCCAGGGATACTTTCTCCACCATTACCTTCAACTGCCCATTTCACTGCCTAACCGTCTTTTCTGGGAAGAAATTACTCCCAATATACAATCTCTATCCTCCCTGGTGAAACTTGAGGCCATTTTATTAGAGTATCCCTAAATTTTGTTTTCTTGATCTGCATTTATTGATTTCACATCAATAAATTCATATTTATTCCAGTTTTTTCACAAGTAACCAGTCACGTGACTTACCAATGCTGTACTTCACATCTCAATTGTCTTCTATGAGAACACTGAAACAAAACAGAAGAAACAAATCAGACTTAACAAAAAAGACTTAGTAATAAAGCTTTTTCTTTTTCAATCACATATACAGTCAAAAACTTTCTAGTACAATCCTCCTGGCAGGGGGAAGGGACAACAAGGCCAAATTAATAATGAAAAATGAATGTCTAATCACCATAAAAAAATCCATTTCTTGTTCGATAATAGGCACATTCCTTCCATTTATAGTTCTCATATTATACAAATACATATACTCCGAGTCAATGAGGTATAGAAAGATAAGCTTCAGACACATTATGGACAATCAGCATAAACTAGAGCTCAGAACCTCTGTGCTGCTCTGAGCCCATGCAAACCATGAAAATTAAGGTTTATGATGTTCAGCCATTGTCTCAAGGAAAGCACATGCAGCTTTGATGAGATGATGTACATGAGGTACCATGAGTTTCTGCAGCAGAAGGTATGATCTACCAAGGAAAACAACTATCCTCCATAAAACAGCTTCTGAAAGTGGGATTATCAGATCCAAAGTATACATTTTACAGAGCCCAAATATACCCACACTGCACATGCTGAAATAAGAAAGCCAACTGATTCTTACACATAAATATAGGAGTCTGTTTACCACTGTTACATCAACATCAGATGAAGTTAATTAAAATGCTAAAAAATATATTAAAAAAAAATATCAAGGAACTACTAAAGACAGAACAGCATTTCTTGAAAGTTCTGAAGCTCTGTAAGAGCAATTCTTCTCAGAGGTGCATAAATGAATGCTTGAGAGATCATGGTCAGCAAGTTGCAACAAGGGATATCAAAATCAAATATCCTTAATAAAGAAAGAAACACACAGATAACAAAATGCTAATACACATCCCAGAGAAATTGTGCAAGTTCCTAACTCTGCAGATATTCAAAACAATAGCACCAGTCCTGAGTTACCTGATTTAATCTCAACCTGCTTTGAGCAGAGAACTAGCACTCAAGAGCACCTCACATCTCGCTGACCTGCCTTACAGCTCATAGTTTCTACTTCTAATGATCTAAAGAGAGCAAAGCCCCCCTTCCCCTAAGAGGACTAGGAATTTTAAGGTGGAAGAACCTTGACCTTTCATATGGTGAACTAGAATTAATTGTGGTTCAAAGCATATCAGTAAATAAGTAAAATAACCAACGTCCTGCTTACAAAGAAGCAAAATCACTTCTGACAGGTTCTAAGCAATAGCAAGCAAAGTACTCACAGGTAGGCCAATAGTCATATACAGAAAGAGCACTAGCACTCACTCAACTGGTGAAGGCTCTCTAGATATACAGCTCTCCTTCACAGGAAACACGCAGTGCAAAAGATACTCACCCTTCAGTGGCTGGCCCTTATATGTGCCCAGGGTGCCTCCACCCTGGGTCCATCCCTTCTGGCCACATGGGGAACACAGGTGCAAACAATTTGTCTGTGCTCCCTGGGCCAGCCACACCCCTTCACCAGGTGCTCAATCACCAGTTCAAGCTGTGATCTAACAGTTACCTACAACTGATTGATTTTTTTTTTTACAAAGAAAGACGTTTCCAGTAAGAAATGCCCTTAACATAACTGCATCTTTCATCTGAGAAAGACTGTGAAGCAAGGGTATCTCAAACTGAGCTACTTATTCACAATGGCGGCTTCTTAAAAATCCTGTAAAGATGAGATGTGGCCCAGAATAAAGATGAAACTAAAGTTCTCTATTATGCTTATTAGATTGGTTTCTAAATGAAGGCACAGAGAAGATGGGGAGAAGGTCAGACTGAAGGAGTGGGTGGGAATGTTAAGGCCAAAGCAGTGGTATGGTTTGGGACTTATTAAAACAATGGCCAATTCCTGAACAGTCGTGGCTAACTGTCGTATAGGTAGTTTACAGGAAATTGATAATGCAAGAAAGGGAAAGATGAACTAAAAATTTACCAGAGAATCTGAGGACAACCTTCTTGAAACACTTGCTGTTAGGCAAGAAGGAAACAAAGTAATGAAAAAGTTTTTGAAAAATATGTGACACTGAGGTACAAGCCGTTCTCAGAAAGGGACTTGCCTGTGGTCTCAAAGGTGAAAATAAGAACCAGTTAAGATTTCACCTCCAAATCACAGAACTAGATCCTGATAATAGGAGTTCAGTCAAAATAGTAACTCTGTAAGGACCACATGGGGTCCTCTCTTGCATGGGTTTTATACTTCTTTCTACAAGCAGCTCCAGAGACTTTTAAACACAGAAATCAAGCTAAAATGATAACTTAATGATGAACTTTATAGCAGACTGAAATTCACAAAAAAGTTTTGAATACCAGATTACACTGACTAAAACACTAGGGTGCATGGCAGTAAAGATAAAATAGGAATGAATCAGAAATTACTTAAGGTTAATGAAGTATCTCTCTCTTCATTTCATTGTTACCTTACTTCCCTTGCAGAGTTTCAGAAACCAGTATTTCAAACTGTCCATACTTACAAGTAATCCCTCCAGAGTGTTCTGAGTTTAAATAAATATCATTTATTTATTTATTGTTTGGGTTGTTCCTTCGGTGATGTGCCTGCCAATCTACTCCAGATGAACCATGTTGGTTTCAGTCTTCATTACCTCTCCTTCCCTCATCTCTCCTGAGCCTTATATAAATCTTTCTGGCTGAACTGTAGGCAGTCCATGTCATGGGGAACATTTTTCCCTTACATCTTAGAATCCTATAATTTATACCACAAAATTAAAACCAACATAAATTAGTAATTCAATCCCCATATTCCAATTTAATGAACTAGAGGCTTCATTGCATTATTGTTTTGTGCCACTGGACCAATCATTCCGTTTACAGATGGAATGTACTTCTTTTTTAATAAATAAATGAATAAAAAAATAAAGGTATCCTCAGTGCAATTATGTTGATGTCCCTCAGGAACCAGAATGCAATTATTTAAAATATTATTTCCTTAGATCACTCTCAAGAAAATAAGAAAAGAAATATGAAATTTGTGTCCTTTTAGCTTAAGCTCATTTTAAGAGCAGCAACAATGATGCAGTTAGTCCCCAGTGGCAACTGAGAAGCACTTAGCCAGAAAATTGTTATTGGATTACAGTTCTGGCTTCGTAATATGTGGCTAAAGATCATTTTAGACATCTATTGAGTGGCCCATTGTCAAAACTGGTATGACAAACAAGTGACAAAGTTATTCTATTTGGTCATTTTTGAGGGTTTTTTAGATCACAGAGGTAACTTGGGGCTGTATCAGCCTATGCAGTTTTGATTCAATTATAAAAATAACTCACAATAGGAATAATTCTAGCATAAATAATTGGACCCCTCAGGAGGAAAAAAAAAATCTCTACAAACATGTGCATGTACTTTCAAGTGTTTCTGATATATAAGGAATTGTTAAGTGATACAGTGATCAGAAGTCAATTCCCATATTGAAGCCTACCTTTCAAACTAACTGGTCTTCTTCATTAAAATAAACAAGATGAAAAGGGCACCAAAGGACACTGCATGCTTTTTAACAATGTGCAAACTGAGACCACTCAGATACCACTAAAGTTCATACAATCCTTTTAATTTTACTTTGCAGTCTTTTTCAAACAGACGATTTCCTGGATAAGAATCCTGCCTTCTATATTTTACTCTGCTGCTAAAAATGAACAACTAATGTGAATGTATTTTGATGTACACGTGCAAACTTAAACAAGCGCAAAGAAGAAAGCAAAAATGAGGAACTTAATAAAAAACATAACATGAGATTTATTTTCTTTTCATAAGTTCTTTATCATTTTCATTCACTGTCCATTACATGGTACATCTTCGCTCACATAATTACAAAATTAATACATTCAGCACCTATTTCATCCCTTTTTAATTTTGCTGAATATAAATACAGACATACTTGGAGAAAAAACTAAAAAACTTGGAAAGTGAAGAAACAGAACCAACCACTATGTATCACCGAGTGCTGCTAAACGCTTCTAATCCACACAGTGGCCCTCTGGGTAGAAGTGCCACAGCAAAAACAGCTTTTGCTGGGGGTAACTCGATCTTTTCACAGAAGTGGCAACAGTGTGGGTAGACGGAGACCTTGGCCTTGTCTGTCTGTAGGCATTCATGCAGCTTGTAGCAGCAAAACAAAGCAGAAACATCGATTTCACAACACTACTGGCTCTCAAATCTATTTTCTGAAAAAGAAAACAATTTGGAGAGGGAGGAGATAAAGTTGGCAGCTACAGTCCCAGGCGTTTTATGTTGTTGTTTTTGTTGCTGTTGCTTTGCTTCTTTCTTGGTTTTTGGTTTTGTTTTTTTTTTCAATTTATCCTACAGATCAGAGCCACATTAGCTGAGAGAAGTGCATGAGTATGGTCATAATTCTATTGAAGATCATTGGATCGGCTGAAGATTTCTCCCTCGGACCTCTGCCACAAAGAAGAAATGAAAGTAGCACCAAATCTACAGTAAACAATGAAGATTCTAGTTTGAACTGAGAATTTGACAACATTTTAAGAGATCTACCCCTGGCCAGCAAACTGGCAGTTTTATTTCCTCCACAAAGATGTCCAAAAAGTAATTCTGCTCATCCTTGCAAGAAAAGAAAATATCAGATGAATTCCATTTAGTGGGGTCACGGAGACCAGATCAGTATTGCTCCTAACATATGGATCCTCACATTTAGGGTCAGAATTTAAAAGTCTGACTCTCAACACAAATTACTTAGTTCCTTGAATGATACCACTAGGTCATGGAGGACAGTGATGTTACACCAAAGGAAGAGAATCACTGATGGCTATTTGCAACACAAGCATACTTTCAAATTTAATGCTTCCATACAAAAGGACACTATTTCTCTATACAAATAAAAAAAAGATGCAAAATGTCATTTGATATGGCAGTCAGAGAGGAAAACTACTTTGTTTTCAAAAATCCTTCTCACTAAGAGTCAGTATCAAGCTTATTTCGCTGCACAAAAGCATAATCCTAAACTATACTGAAGTCTGTCCCTCAAAATAATGCATTGACTTGCTTATCTCTAGAGATCTGTTTAATTATCCAAGACTACAAGAAAGTGGAACAGTCCAGTTTGAACACCCTCATGATGTCTCAGCATGTTTCTGCTCCCGGCACATGCTATTCCAACAGCTAGAGATCACTGGAGTTAAAGTGCATGCACCCAGCTGAATAGGATGCAATTCCTATTCTTATGATGAATATCAGGGTCAGAGGTGAGTGCCAGATAACACATGGCAGATGTGGAAGGAGTAGAAGGAATTCTATTTACTTTGCGTGACCACCTACATTTCAAGTGTGGGGGGGGGTTGCAGTGAGAGGTGCCTAAAACTGCATGGTAAAGACTATTTAGAGGACTGCATTGTACAATATTTTGCAGGAAAAAGCTACCTTCTTGTGTGTTAGAGCGAAATACTGTTGAAATATAAAATACAGTTCAGCCCAAATTAACCACTCATGCAATGCATCTCTTTTAGAAACAAACAAGAGAAATCTTATTAAAAGATATTCTTTGATCACTTCGGCTGGTATTGAGAAACTGTATTTCTTATTGTGCTGTCAGTATTTCCAGCGTCCATTCCAGGATGCTGGGGGACTAGCAGCAAAGTAACATTACCAAGAAATGGAGAAAAGGTGATCTAAACCTGAGAGAAGTTCTAGATAGACCCTGTGAAGACTGCAAAAATACAGCATATGAGAGCCTATTTACAGTTTTGCTGTACATGTCAAAAAAGTGCTGCAAGTTATCACTGGCTGCCAAGGCTAGATTCTCAGTCCTGTAGCCCAAATCATGCAAAAGGCACCTGAAGCTGCTCCTAACAGTGGATGATTCTTCCACATCAGATGTATTACAGGGCAGGAGATTTCTTCAAGCAGGGAAAATTATTAGCAGCCATTCGTTACTCAGTTTTTCACAATCCATGATTAAAAACCTTTTTTCTCCTCAACACCATTCGCTTTTAACTCCTGAGCAGCAAGGTACCACTTCTGTGGTACATTCAGCTACTATGAGAGAAACGGGAGAGGACGGAACACATCAGGTATATCAATGAGCTCTGCTGTACAAAGAACAAATTCACACACTGTATTTCTCCTGCTCCTTCTTCTATTCCTAAAGACATCATAAAAGTCATTGAGGATTTTGATGCTTTCTATATGGAAAATTTGGAAAGTTGAAACGGACCAGTTAGGAGAAATTCAGTTCATAGAAAGGACTGAAAAGAAAAATGGGAGGCAGGTGAAGGAAAAATAGTTACTTATAAAAGTAACACACAAACAGCAAAAACAAACTAATCTGGGACAACGGGCTTTACTTAAAGATC